TAGAGGTCTATATCATATGTGTAAGAGAAAATTATATATTTTTCATATTTTCATTGAAAAATAAAATCACAAATCTTACTGATGAATAGTTACCAGGTATACTGAGTTTTACATTGATTGATAAATAAGTCATAGCCTTACTTATACAGTTGTTTACACAAAATTGGACCCTACCCACTTTTAACTTTAACAATATTATTTTGGATATCCAAATTTCATGGAACATTTACAATAGAAAACTTTAAACTTATTGCAAGATCATAACTGTTAAGCTTATTAGATTGGCTCCAAAAATAGTCTTAGAGAATCGGAGAGGATTCATATGAGACATAGTACAAGAAATCTTTTGAAAGAAACATGGCTATGAAAATTGATATAAAAAAAAAAGCATTTGATACTCAAAATGGAGTTATTTATTCTATATGCTTAAGAACTTTGGCTTTAATATTATATTTTGCAATTGAGTTACAACAATACTTCATTCAACCAAATTATCAATTTAGTTAATGACAAGGCAACAAGCTTTTTCAACTGTTCTAGAGGAATAAGACAAGGAAATTCCATTTCTATTTTACTATTTTGCATTGTTGAAGATGCTTAAGAAGACAATTTGCAAACATGATTGAACAAAGACATATTACATGTATCGCTCATGACAAAACTAAGTTTCCAAGTCACACTTTCTTTGTAGATGATCTCAGATATTTTGTAAAGCTACCAAAAGTGATGCATATCCTATCCACAAATTATTACATGAATATGCTTAAAATTCATGCCATCGCCCTAGTCCCACAAAATGCAAGGTATCCTTGGTTTTTAGGCTATCCACAAGTTGCATGCATCTTTGGTTTCAACACAAGTCACACAAACTTTGATTACTTTGGAGTACCAATATTCAAGGCTAAGTCAAGAGTTCAATATTTACATCCAATAGCAGATAAGGCTTAAACCAAATTAATCACATGAAAAGGAAACATCTTATCTATGATGAGAAGAATTCAACTATTGTTAACTCGATAATCCATAACATGCTAACCATATTCTAACATTAGTGAAATCCACATGTAAACTCTCAAGAATCAACAACAATCAAACATATCTCATGATTCCAATATAATCCAAAATAATTATAATACCAACACCACAACACATTCAACATGAAATCACACAAGTAAGCATGTATCGTCATCAAGTTTCATGTTCATAACAACAACAACACAAACCCTAACTTCCCAACCATGGATTTTTCTCTCAAAGCTAAAATTTAACTATGAACTCACCTCTAGGAAGAAGATGATGATGAAATATTGGAGACGACTTGATGAAGCAAGCTCTTGATCCTTAAGTATTCCAAGCTTTTTTTCTTTCGAAGAAGACGATTGAGAACGGAGAAGACGATTCCAAGCTTAGGGATTTGGAAACGATTGAAGACGATTCCAAGCTTAGGGATTTGGAAACGATTTTGTGAGTTTTCTGAGAATGCAAGATTTTGAAACGATTTTGTGAGTTTTCTGAGAATGCAAGAGTTTTCTGAGAATGCAAGCTTTTGTGAGAATGAACGATTTCTTGTTTTAAAAATTTTTAATTGTAAAGAGGGTATGACAGCGCTTTTGAAAAGCGCTTTCGTAACTAAGGCTATACCAGCGCTTTTGAGGATAAAAGCGCTCTTGTACCCCACCCCCTATATCAGCGCTTTTGAAAGCGCTTTCATAAGCCCCCTATAAGAGCGCTTTCAGAAAGCGCTTTCATACCCCCCCACTATAAGAGCGCTTTTCAAATGCGCCTTCGTACCCCAGCCTCTAAGAGCGCTTTCTGAAAGCGCTTTTGTAACCCCCCCCTTTAAGAGCGCTTTTTTAGCGTGTTTTTTTATTTTGTTTTAGCGCAACCTATACCAGCGCTTTTTACAAAAAGCGCTTTAGTAGGGGTGCTGCTAAAAGACAAATTTGGTGTAGTGCCTGACACATGGTTCCTTGTAAGACACAAACAGGTCTTCATATGGAACATTCCCATCAGAGGATTCTACACAAGACCCCCCATCTTCCAGTGAGAGCAGTCACATGTTTATCCATTTCAACTTTAGATTCATTTTCTGGTTCATCATCATCATACCAAGCTACCAAAAAACATTTCTTTTGTTTCTTGGGAAAGGTGGGACATTATGACTTAATATGACCAAAGCCTTCACATTCATAACACTGAATACCTCTATCTAGATTGGGCCTCTCTTCAGTTATGGTTTTCCTCTGAAAATCAAAATTTTTGCTGATGTTAGATGAGATGTTCTTGACATTTGGTTTTTCCCTTATGTCCAATCTCTTTAGCACTTGATTAAATTTCCTCCCAAGTAGTACAATGGCATTTAATATTCCTTCCTCAGTCTGTAGGTCACATTGACCTTCTTCAAGTTCAGTGTTGGAATCAAAAGCCATGCTTTTGTTTTTCTTCTAAAAGTTTCCACTATAGCTAATTCAAATGGTTGAAGTGACCTAACCAATTCACCCACTCTCATGCTGATGATGTCTTGGGCTTCTTCAATGGTTATCACCTTCATGTCAAATCTCTTAGGAAGAGATCTGAGAATCTTTCTAACAAGCTTCTCTTCAGTCATCTTTTCTCCCAAGGCACTAAAAGAGTTTGCTATGTCAAGGATGTTCATATGAAAATCATGGATGCTTTCATCCTCATTCATCTTTAAATTCTCAAATTTAGTAGTAAGCAGCTGAAGTCTAGACATCATGACTTTATATGTGCCTTCATGAGTAGTTTTGAGAATTTCTTAAGTATCTTTGGCCACAATACACATGTTTATTAGTCCGAACATGTTTTTTTCAACTGCATTGAATAAGGCATTCAAGGCTTTGGAATTTCCAAGATCAAGTTCATTTTCTTATTTAGACCAATCTTCTTCTGGCTTCAAGGTTTTAATCCCATCTTTTTCCTTCACAACTGGATGGTCCCAACCCTTTATGACAGCTTTCTAAATTTTGTTGTCCAAAAATTTCAGGAATGCTATCATACGAGCCTTCCAATAGTCATAGTTGGTGTCATCTAAAACTGGTGGTCTATTGTTGAATCCTCATTCCTTGTCCATGAAACCAGAAAGTAACTTCCCTGGAGCTCACCCTAATCAAAACAGGGTGTCTGCTCTGAGGCCAATTGAAATTCTGGCACACATATTTCAGATGTCGAACTAGATGTCGCGACGCTGGGATCAAATCAGTAAACACAATAGAAACAAATATGAAATTAAGATAACTTTCATAAAGAAAATAACACTAGTAATTGTTAACCCAATTCGGTGCAACTTCACCTACATCTGGGGGCTACCAGGCCAGGGAGAAAATCCACTAAAATATAATTAGTTTAAAGCTTTAAACATCCCCTTGGTTACAACCCTCTCTCATAATCTCTATCTGTGCAATTTCTATATAAGACCCTCCTAGATATGAGACCATTCTCAATTCTCAATAGTCATAACCCCATGACAAACTCTCAACAATAACCAAAAGAAAGAAGACACTCTTCAAAGAAAAAAACCAGTCTTTCTTAAAAGCTATTGACCGAAGAACAAAAGGTAACTTAACCTACAATCCACTCTTGCTTAAAAGCTTTTGAGTGATTGACAAACTAAACAGTCCACCTAAAATATCAAAAGATAATAGAGAGGATCACAATGAACAAAGACAAACTAAAAACCCTAAACCATTATCTTATGCACAATGTTCTTTCACGACTTCTCCAAGTGTTTTAGATTTGGAATGTCTTCTTAAATAGACTCATGCTATCATGGGCTTGGACTCTTCACGCAAATTCAATCTTCCAGTTGTAAATCAATTGCAAAGTCTTCTCCACAATAATAGGAACTAAAATACAAAGTTTTCTAAAAAGACTCAAAGATCCATTTTATGAAATAAAAACAAAACAACACAGTTCCCAAAACATCATTGCTTGGCTACAACTGCATGAGTAACAAAAACATACAAAATCTTCAAATTTATTAAGCCAATCTATAAGGATTTAAAAACCAAAACTGAATTGATGTTCTGGTATAACATGCAACATTTGTCACAACATCAGTCTTCAGTGATGCTTCATAAAGTCAGAACACCTATCCCAACATCTTGCATAGAACCATGTTAGCAAAATTGTTGCCAATCCTAAAACTATGGAACTTACAAAAGGCCTCCACGTCACCAGATTTAATGGCAGAGTAGGAGCTCATATTACAAACCCTCGTCATGCAAAGCAGAAACAAGGGCTTAGGAGGCAATTGTCATGGGTCGCCCATAAGGCTCATGGATAAAGGTCTAATGGTAAAACAAAAGAATAAAACACATAATTGATAGACTTTTTCACCTTCTGAGTAGGTGATTTCGCATATAGAACCCCTAGTGACCTTCCAGATCAATCTGACGGCTGACCACGATCCACGCTTTTAGTTGTCAATTGCTTCTTCTATTTAAGAGGAAAAAACACATCATTTTTCAGATATTCAAATTCACTCTCATTTCCACTACACTTCTCATTCTCATACAAACTTGAGTGTTTGATTGCTAACTTACACTCCATAATAAGTTTTACACCTCTATTCACTGAACAATTATGATTCCACCAAAAGAATAACTACATTAACAATTTTCAAAATATTGGATTTTATCTAAAACAATAATTAATATTTTTTTTAATTACTAATTAATATTGTTCTTTTAAATGAAAGTACAACTTAAAAATGGTATAATTATTTTATTTGTCATTGCTTGTTTGATTTTTTTATCTTATTGAGATATTTGTTTAGTGCAAATTAACACATGTTAATTTTAATTTATTATAAATTAATCAATAAATTGCACTTCAATGTTACAAATATAAAAACATAAATATTTTAATCACTTTAATTTTACATTTTTATAAATATTTTGTCAATTTATGCTATTATTTCATTTCAACCTTAAAGCTTTCCAAAATGCAAAGGGATGTACATCAGTTCAATCTCACTGCTGATGGCTGATGGATGTTTGCTACGCCGCTGCGGTGATGATTGTTTCCGACCCGAGCATGATTCTCCGCCGCCAAAAGTTCTTGCTAATGCATCTCACGCTTCACCATTAACAATTGGGAACTTCATTGTTGCAGGTAAATCATTATCACCTTGCATTTGTGTTCCACTCACTTCCTAGATCTAATTTTTTTTATCAGTTCTTCTTACACAACTTCATGTTGAATTACTTGTTCACAATGATTATGTTAGTCTTTACTTGAAGATAGTCTGGGTTGGGCTTAAGGTGTCAATGTAAATATGTCCTAAACAATCTAGAGATGAATTACTTCTTACACAATTAGTGATAGATCATACTCCAACATTTAGCTATGCATGTGTATACATCTTTAGCCACATTGTGTGTTTGTTTGATTCTTGTGATTTCAATTATGTTCACTGGGTGTTCATTCATTCAATCAATTAGGAAGTCTATTTTTTTTAGGTAATAAAAAAGGAAGTATGTTACTTTTGATCAATGCAAACTCATAAGTTATCCACTTACTCGGTCATCATCCGATAAAAACTGTGTAATGCTTAAGATCATAATCTCAATGGAGACGATACTAAGTCATCATTTTATTATTTGGTACGATCACTATAATTGCTGACATAAATTTCTTAGGATATAGTTTTATGTGTTGATGTTGTTACAATGAAAGTATAAGTGCATAAAGATATGTAAAAGTTTCTAAAACATCTAAAGGAAGTTGATAATATAGAATTTTGAATTAAGAACATACATACACAATTACACTACAACCAAAATAAGGCGGTAAAATCAATATAGGTTCTTTTATTAACAAATAAAATCTTCAATACAAATTACCACAACAGTGTTTAACATAATACACTAAAAAATTTCAAATGGTTTCAAGCCAGAAGTTTAATAGACGGGAGGTGGGGGTGAATTATAGAGGTAGGGATGATATGGAGGAGGTGATGGAGATGGTAGAGGTGGAGACTTGTAAATATAAAGAGGCGGCGGTGAAGGTGAAGGTGGTGGTGGTGACTTGTAGACATATGGTGGAGGAGGTGATGGAGAAGGTGGAGGTGGAGATTTATAGTAGTATGGAGGTGGCGGCGAAGGTGAAGGAGGGGGAGGTGACTTATAGACATAAGGTGGAGGAGGTGAAGGAGATGGTGGGGGTGGAGAATTGTAAACATATAGGGGTGGTGGTGAGGGAGATGGTGGGGGCGGGGACTTGTAGACATATGAAGGGGGTGGTGAAGGGGATGGGGGAGGAGGAGACTTATAAATGTATGGAGGGGGAGGGGATGGAGATGGTGGAGGGGGAGAGTTGTAGACATATGGAGGAGGAGGTGAAGGGGATGGAGGTGGTGGGGAGTTGTAGACGTATGGTGGGGGAGGAGAGGGTGATGGTGGGGGAGGGGATTTGTAGACATATGGAGGTGGGGGTGATGGAGAAGGTGGTGGTGGACTCTGATAGACATATGGTGGGGGAGGTGAAGGAGAAGGAGGAGGAGGTGACTTGTAGACATATGGAGGAGGAGGTGAAGGAGATGGAGGTGGTGGTGAGTTGTAAACATAGGGTGGGGGAGGAGAGGGTGATGGTGGAGGAGGAGACTTGTACACATATGGAGGGGGTGGTGATGGAGAGGGTGGCGGTGGACTCTTGTAGACATATGGTGGGGGAGGTGAAGGAGATGGAGGGGGTGGTGACTTATAAACATATGGTGGAGGTGGAGAGGGAGATGGTGGAGGAGGCGACTTGTAGATATATGGAGGTGGTGGTGATGGAGAGGGTGGTGGTGGACTCTTGTAAACATATGGTGGAGGAGGTGAAGGAGATGGAGGAGGGGGTGACTTGTAAACATATGGAGGGGGAGGTGAAGGGGATGGAGGTGGTGGTGACTTATAAACATATGGTGGGGGTGGTGAGGGAGATGGTGGAGGAGGAGACTTGTAGACATATGGAGGTGGTGGTGATGGAGAGGGTGGTGGTGGACTCTTGTAAATATATGGAGGAGGAGGTGAAGGGGATGGAGGTGGTGGTGACTTATAAACATATGGTGGGGGTGGTGAGGGAGATGGTGGAGGAGGAGACTTGTAGACATATGGAGGTGGTGGTGAGGGAGATGGTGGAGGAGGAGACTTGTAGACATATGGAGGTGGTGGTGATGGAGAGGGTGGTGGTGGACTTTCATATAAATATGGTGGGGGAGGTGAAGGAGATGGAGGAGGCGGTGACTTGTAGATATATGGAGGTGGAGGGGAAGGGGATGGAGGTGGAGGAGGTGGAGATTTGTAGTAATATGGAGGGGATTTGTTGACATAAGGAAATTGTGGAGGCGGGGAATTGTAGTAATATGGAGGTGGTTTGAAATAATATAGTGACTGTTGTCCATGACTTGACGGTGTTGGATAGTAATTGTTTGGCTGACTTTCATAGTAAGGCTTATCATCATCAGCAGCTACACTGCTAGCAATTATGCAAAATGCAACTGCATAGATGAGTCGAGGCCAAAGCCTCAACCTAACTAAAGTTCCCATATTCTCTAACTTTTTGTATTTCTGTACTCAGTTTCTTGAAAGAATGTTAGTTACTGTATTTGTTTAAGTTTGTACTAGAACTGTTTATATAGTATTTGCCCAAACATAGATAATTAGATTTCTGAATCTTTCAAATGCATTATAACAGGCTGGCTTAATAATATAAATTATATTATTGTCTAAACTTTCAAGGATGATGTGCATCCCATACCTTCTGTTCATACTATCCTTTTGTATTTTAAAATTTAATATTGTATTGTGGTTTTCAACTGTATGAGTTAGTAACGTTTTTCAGAACACGGATATGGACATTGTCAATGAAGAGAGTAGGTGATCATTGCTAGGTAGTAAGTTTGAATGAGTTCATGAACAACAAATATTTGTGAGAACGCGTCAGCGTCAGAGCAGGCTTATTCTAATTGTTTCCTTTGGCTGATAGAGAAAAGAACTGGCAAGCATAATTGAGATGCCGGAATGTGAAACAGAGATAAAGTCAAATAAATTCCAAACATGCCTGAAATTCTCTAATACTCACAATAAAATATAAGAAAAAGTGTAAACTTTCAGCTCTATACATGTATTCTTTTATTATAATACATGTCAATATATAGAAATGCACTGTTTCAATTTTTCAACTTGAGTAAAATAGTACTCTTAACTTTTAAACTGTTGGGTTAATTTTCTGGGGTGAAGGCATTGTATTATCTTGGTCATGTGCCAAGGCAGCTTTTAAACTGTTCGGTTAATTATTTTTACATTACTTGTAAGATGGATATTTTTCTTCATCTTAGATATTTATAGATAGGATAATAGTTATGAGAAAACTCTCCATTGGTCTTCTTTTTAATTATTAGAGTACTACAAAATAATAGATATTGGTTTTTAAGTAGAAAGATAATTTGGATGCAATTTCTGCCATATCATACCTCAGCACTCAACTTCTCACACAATTTCTCAATTAAAAAAAAAAAGTAAAATGATACACCTTTTATCCAAAAAAAAATATCATGCATAAAGGTAAACAAGGCTACAAGAAATGACCATTTCCCTCTCCCATATAAAAAAAGAGTAAAATGATACACCTTTTATCCAAAAAAAAAAAAAATCATGCATAAAGGTAAACAAGGCTACAAGAAATGACCATTTCCCTCTCCCATATATGATTAAATGCTGGATAGGTTGACTGAAAATAATTTTTTTTGCTTTCTCGATGGATAATCATGATATAATCAAATTGCATTAGTCCCTGAACACCAAGAGAAAACAACTTATTCTTGAAAAAAAATATTTATAACTTCTCCGAAGCCGATCGGTTGAAGCAGTTTTAATGGAGTGATTATTTGCCCCTTCATTTTTCCGGAGCGCTCCTTTATAATGCCTATTATCATCAGAAATGATGCATTCATGGCCATAATAGTCATGACTCTCTTATCGCCATGGAGGTCATAAAGGACATTGAATTTTATTTATGAGGGTATTCCTTGCATTGTTGGTTGACTTGGTAGGTGTTAGAAATTTCGATAAAAGGATATAAAGTTGGAGACCAAGTTATTTTTGAAAGAAGTGTCTTGTGAAAGCTTCGACTATTTGTTTCTGAATAGACGGTCAAAGATCAACTGAATAAAGATTAAAGAAAGCCTTTATTTTAAAAGAAATTCGATGTATTTGAAATTCGAAATGATCATATTAGATTTGGCGCTCTCTGCAATAAAAGGATTCGAAATTCAAATCTTTAATCTTATCCAGAAGACACATGGAGGTTTAGTAGTTCGAAGAATTTACATGTCACGAACGTGGCATCTAGATGTGGAAAGGCCATTAAGGTCGAATTAATATATATATATATATATATATATATATATATATATATATATATATATATATATATATATATATATATATATATATATATATATATATATATATATATATATATATATATATAGGGGTCTTAGTGATATAATTCAGTGTGTTCATTCTTTTGTACAAAATCTCACTTAAACTCAAAGTATTTGTGTATTGAGAAAATAGTCAGCTGAGAAATGTACGTGTAAACACCATCTTTTGTTTAATTGCATGTTATCATTCATAATTTACTTTCAATTGCTTTTATTGCAATTTCCTTACAAAGTTTCGTAAGTTTACTTTATAGAATTATTTAGATAAAAACCAACATTATCGAAAAACTATGATTATCATCGAAGTATTCTTCTTTTCAAAGAACAAAGTTTAAATAAGAACACATGTCCTAGGATCAATCTAGTCGATCCTGTGAGTAACTAAAGACTTTTTCTTGTTTTTAGAAGACTAACGCTTGTTTACCAATTTTCACGGTAAACAAATTGACACACCCGGTGGTACCTGTCTTCAATTAAAAAAAACATTTTTTGTTCTTGTGAAAAGTTTTTGAAAATCTTCATCATTTTCATGTATTTTACTTTGTTGCACGAGACTTAGAAGTGGTAAATTAGCCACAAATAATAAGGAAATACTTAAAAGAAAATACGTTAGGAAAATGAGAAACCAATGATGAAGTACCACCCTCAGTCACTTCGTCAAGGGGAACAACGGTGGTTGCGCCTTTTTTAGAGGTTATACCGTCTTCAACGAGTACGACACCAATGCAGTTGAACGGTCGTAGTAGCCCTATTTTGACTTATGTAGGACCACAGGGTCCACCAGGGATCCCCTTCCAAGGGTAAATTCTTTCCATAGGCTTCAAGGGCCTCCTGATTTTTCTATGCCTCTAAATGGCCGCGAACGCCTTATGGCACGCCATCATCGCTTATGACAAGTTTGCATAATTCCACTTAAACTTATTCAGATCCTATAATAAATGTTACTCTGCCATTATAAGATTCGGGAATTGATTTTAATAATATGGGTCGAATTATCCAACCCCATGGGGAAGGATTTTCTTTCCAAATGTCAAACTTGACAAATCATTCTGCGAAAGTAATTAGGCAGCAAGTGGACGAAAGTAACAATTAAATGGTCCAAATGCTTGCACAAACCATGAGTACAATTTTTAACCCTTTAATTCAAAACACCACTCGGGCGAACCAATAAATGGCAGCGCAAATGACGCGTATCGCTGAAGTCTTTGGTATGCCTCAACCCCCACCACGTCCTCAGAGGGAATGAGTTAGAGAAAACCAAGGGGTAACCTTTGAAGAAGACTCAACGGTAAACCATGTTCAACAAAATCAAAGAAATACACCCTAGATGAATGTGGTAAATCAAGGAAGGGAATTTGAAATACCTAGAGTCGAACCTCTTAGGCAGGAACAACATATCCCAAGGGAGGCGGAACCTAGGGTTATGATGGTGAATAGGAATCAAAATATTGATGAAGTCATATATCAAGTTCGACAAGATAATATGGCAACAGACAATAATCTGGTAGCCATGGTCGAAAGGATTATGGCTCGAAATTGTATGAATGTTGGCCTTCACATACCAAGTTACACTTTACTATTGAGTGAGTACATTTTGCAAACAGGTATACCTCCGGGGTGGAAAATCCAGAAATTTACTAAATTCTCTGGGGACACTACTAAATCCACAGTCGAACATGTGGCTAGATACCTAATAGAGGCAGGTCAAGTTGCCAATAATGAAAATATTAAGATTAAATACTTCCCAAGTTCGCTAACGAAAAATGCCTTCACATGGTTTACAACATTACCAACGAATGCGATCCATAGTTGGGACCAATTAGAAAGGTTGTTCCATGAACAATTTTACATGGGATATACTAAGTTTAGTTTGAAGGAATTAGAAAAAGTTAAGTGCAAATTCACTGAGCCCATAGACGACTATCTGAATCGATTCCATTTGCTCAAATCTAGATGTTTTACTCAGGTGCCTGAGCACAAGTTGGTCGAAATGGCTGCAGGGGGTCTAGATTATTCCATCAGGAAAATATTAGAAACCTAACACTTGAGAGACATGGCCCAGTAGGCTGATAGGGTTCGACAGTTTGAACGCTTGAAAATTGAAAAAGCTAGGGCAAGTAAGAATAACAGAAAAGAAAGAATAGCCTATGTTGAATTCGACGAAGGCGATCATGGGTCATACGAAGAGCCTTTGGATTTTGACGAAGGCGAAATAGATCTTTCTGAACTTAAGCAAGGACCCCCTTAGTCTTGTAAAGGTTTAACACCTTCAAATGGTAAAAACCTAGTCGAACCTGATAAGGGAGACAAATTCCCTAAGAGAACTTATACTTTCGACGTTACTAAATGTGACGAAATTTTTTATTTATTAGTCAAAGATGGCCAAATGATAGTTCCCCCTGGTGCTAAAATACCCCCTTTGGAACAAAAGAAAAAGAAGGGTGTGATACGGTGGGAGAACTTACTTGGGTGTTTTGCGTTTTATCGCAAATGTTGCGGTTAGTAAGAGTCACCGCCGACTTTTCTTTTATCCAAAAGGAAAGATGGAAAAGAACAGGAAAGACCTTTGAGATTATTTCTTGAGTTCGGGGGGTAGTTTATGAAAAGGGAAGGTGTTAGCACCCTTTTCGTCCATAGTTATCTATGGGCTCTTAGTTGCTTTCTAGATAACTCTCTAAGATAAAAATGCTGAACGCATCCTCTTCGGCCCGAGATAGGTGTTCACACTTTGCTCTTCTTGTAGCTGCTTTGTAAGCTCCAAGACCCTCTTCTCACTAGCGTAGAATTGAGTTTCGAAAGTATCTCGTTCTTCCTTCAGCTGAATCCAACCCTTTTGCAAATCTTCGGGAGAAGTAGGCATGTCGGGATGGAGGACAGTGTATGGGATATCTCCTTCAACCACATGTTCCATGATAACTGGTAAGATGGAGGGATAAGGCATCACAAGTTTCTGAGCACGAGCTCGTACCCACCTAAGGTAAGGCTCAAGGGGAAGGAAATTCTTATGTCTCAACGTCTTACTATCCATTTTTCTTACCATCCTCCAAGCTCGTATAAACCTTTGACGGTAGCTTTGATCGTTGCTCTCGTAGTCGAATACCA